TAACTTGACTTTACCAAACTTTAGTCTGGCTTCTCCCCTCCCTGTAGGCCTCTGGAATTTGACCCATTTTTAGATTGAGTGAGCATCACAATGCAAAATAGTTCCTCCTTAATGACCCTCCCAGAAAATCAGATGACTGCAAAAGAAGATGTCCTTGATCGAGTGTCCAGTTATGCCACATGCTTACATCAGTCCCCCACACCTGGTCCCTTTTACGCTTACTCCTTTTTCAAACAAAAATCCAGCACCTTTTCACCTGACTTTTGAAATGCTTGCAGCTTTTTTGCTTAGAGATTTCTAAATAGGAATTGCAGTGGTTGGTTCCTTTCAAAGTCTCTCTTAACTGCAGCCTGATTTTGTTTGTTTGTTTGTCCTATAGTCTTCGGTGGTTCTAATGTGTTTCAACAACCTGACTTCTCTTTGGTAATCCAAAGCAGACTCTCCAGTTAGTCCGCAACCCCTCGTTTTACTAATTTGTTCAATGGCTCATGAACACCAAAATGCCCAGGTGGCACTTTCACCTTCCAGTTCACTGGAACCATTGCTGTGGCTCCTAGCTGAAGCATTATCGCTTTTAGAACTAATATCTGCAAATCAGCAGAGTTCAAATTGCTGGAGTGGAAAGTTTAGGAAGTGAGATGTAACCTCCACCCTTTGATTGCCGTGTGTTCTGGAAAGGAGGAGGCAGCGCCACATTATGGTCTCTATGTACAGTATACCCTGTGAGGCTTAAGCCCCATCCAATTAGAGTGTTTTCTTCCAATTGTCACTGTCTTCAGTAAACCATTCACTTTTTCAGCTGGACCAGCTGTTTCTGGATAATGGAGTATGTCATAAGACCAGTTATATTCACAGCTCTGAGGCTACTGCTGCACTACCTCTGCTGTGAGATGAATTCCCTGATAAGATGCAATGCTGTATGGAGTGCTGTGACAGCAGGTTAGGTAGCCTGGCAGCCCATGAACGTAGATGCTAGGAGAAGCATTACCCATAGGAGAAGATGAACCCATGTCTGTATATCCAATTCTGTATTATTTTAGGGAAGACAAATATGTGCTCCCTTCGTGGTTAAAGAGGTCCAGTGTAATCAGTCACTATCAGCAGGTTGGCTGTTCCTCGTGAGGAATGGTGCCGTACTCAGGACTCAGGGTTTTCTCTCCCTCCTCAGCAGATTAGGCACTTGGCAAAAGATAGCTGTAGCCAGCTGACCACCATGAGAGGAAACTCATGCTGTTTTGCCTATACACAGCCTTTGTTCCTGTCACTGTGGCCACCGCTTATCAGCCCACAAGCAAGCTATGTGGTGGCTGGAGGAAGAAGCTGACTGGAATTCACAGCATCATTTTGTGTATATGGTATCTGCACAGTTTGTACCCATTCTGAGTCATCTATCTGTACAGTTCTTCCCCACCTTCTTCATATTTACACTGCTGATCCACTCCATAGTGCTAGCTGCCAGAAAAGCAGAGCTGCTTCCTCTTGCAGTGTCCCTCCAGTGCCCTCTACTGGTAAAAAATCAACACTGCCCACAATAAAGGAGAAATGCTTAAATGAACTCTGACTGTGATGGATGAATTTGGAGGCATGAGACAAATAATAACTGTTGTAATGTCCTTGCTTCAACAGCATCAGGACTTTGTCTAGTTGTATTTCAATTCCATTGGACTACTGAAATAGTAAATTTGTGAACTTCAATTTTCTGATCCTTGGGGAACAGCTCAAAAGGTATATTCTCCAAACCTGAATCCAACTGTAACCTGGAAGGCTTGATACTGGTAGGTTTTCAGCAACGTAGTTCCCAACTACTTGAAAGTTAGTAACTTCCCTCATTGTATGTCCCTTCTTATTCTATTCTACAGAATATTTCACCTAAAATTCTTTTTTTAAAAAATTTTTAACTTTTTTATTCTAAAGAGATTAAGACAAAACAGGACATAACAAAGCAGACCAGAATAGAGCAATGTAAGCAACACAGTATTTCACCAGAAGACAACCTGTAATTAACAGTAACTATCATAATGTTTATTTCTTTGAAATAGTTGAGTATAACTTCATATACAATAGTATCAAACATAAAAAAATAGTATAAAACCATTCAAGAGAATGAAAGTATTACAGGGCATTCAGAACCAAATAACACAAAATGAACAATGTTTACTCTATTATCTCATTTTTTCTTTTTTTATTAAAAAGTTAAAAGAAAGAAGGAGATTAAGATAAAAGAGGACGTAACAACATAATAACACAGGTCAGAACAGAACAATTTAAGCAACATAGTGTTTCACCACAAGATAACCCAACATAACAGGAGCTACCATAGTGTCTTTTTCCTTGAAATACTTTAGTATAACTTCGTATATTATAGCATCCAAACACAACATGACAATGTAAAACCACTCAAGAGAATGAAAGTATTACAGGGTATTTAGAACCAACTAACAGAAAATGAACAACATTTTCTATATTATCTCCTTGTCTATAAAAATTTTTGTTTATACTATCACATATAATAAAATCCAATAAGTTACAACATGATAAACCAATGGAGACAGAAGAACAAAAGCTTCATGGGATTTCAAAATAAGATAATATTAAATCAGCACTAGCTATTATATTGTCTTGCTTTCTTCAAAATAACTGTTCATACCATCACAGACAATAAAATCAAACCCAGAATAAAACTATTCCAATTAATGAGTGAAAACATTATAAGGATTCAAAGCAATATAATGGGGAATCATGATTACCACATACTTTTATGTATTCTTACCATTTCTTATACTAGGGAAACTATTTGGTATTTATACATGTGAGTTTGATTTATTTCGCTTATGAGTATGGTCTCAAGCTGTGCCCATTTATTTATAAATATCACAATGTGATCATTCTTTATATCTGAGTAGTACTCCATTGTATAAAAATACCACAACTTTTTTATCCATTCCTCAGTTGATGGACACTTAGGTTGTTTCCAAGATCTGGCTATTACAAATTGTGCTGCTATAAAAATGGATGCACATACATCACTGTGATATGATACTTTCAGTTATTCTGGGAATATGCCTAGAAGTGGAATAGCTGGAACAAATGGGACTTCCAATCCCAGCTTTCTGAGAAATCTCCAGACTGTCCTCCACAATGGTTGCACCAGTCTACACTCCCACCAACAGTGCAGGAGAGTTCCTTTTTCCCCACAGCCTCTCCAGCATTTGTTGTTGGTAGTTTTCTTGATCCTGGCCATTCTTTCAGGAGTGAGCTGAAATCTCAATGTGGTTTTAATTTGCATTTCTCTAATGTAAAATTCTTAAAAACTATTTATACATTTATTTTACAGTCATGGATACTCAAAGAAGCAATTAAGATAATTTAGAAAATCTAAGGATTTCAGATTCCACTAAGGGAAAAAAGGCACTAAGACGTTTTTATTCTGAAGAGTTACCTCTCTTTCCTCCCAGTATCTTTGTTGTAGAAAAAGTCAACCAATTTGAATTAGGAAAGCATATCTAGCAGTAATGAAAGTACTAGCAACTATCTAGATGCAACACTTTCAATACCTGAGATTTTACTGCTGCTTCAGGGCCCTTGCCATCATCCAATCAAGCACTTTCTGAGATGTCTTAGGCCATCAGTCTGACCTCTGGTGTGTAGCGATTATCCTTGAGTATGTTTCGTATCCTTTTATCAGGGTCTACTTGAGAGGCCTGAGATCCAGAATATCCATGAAATTGTTCCCAATTCCCCATGAGCCTCTGTGATTTTGAGACAGTTTTCCACTTTGCTCAATAAGAAAATGCAATCCCAGTGTTCTTCAGGCCCTAGGTATGCAATAGTGTGGGTTACTATGGAATAGATCGGCTCCTCCCACCTTCCGTAGCCCACCTTTATATCTGCTCTCCCCTCATTTATATCTGCTCTCCCCTCATTTGTATCTGCTTCCCCTCATTTGGGCTTCAGCGCCTCTGTTTATTTGCAATGTCCATTCTGTAGGGCCCCAAAGACTGCTTTTCCTCAAGCTATCACATTTTAAAATGTCTCTTTTCACCATTGCTTGCTGCTTTCTCTTCTCTTAATTTTTCCTTATATCACATGAAAACTTTCCTTTTCTAAGCAGGCTAGTCTTCCCCAAGTGTTGGAATGATAGCAATTGCTCTCGTAAAGTGAGTACTAACTAAAGTACCACTCCTTGCTCACTGGTTCCCTGTGGTAAAGAAACTAGGAATTGGATTCTGAAAATCACACCTGAGTCTGGGAATGATAAGCCATATTTCGTTTGGTCATATGGGTCACATAGGTTAATTATAATGGCTATGTTTCCCCCCTTTGGACCATATTCTTACTTTTGAGGGAGAATTTGGAGTTTGGCAAGGAGAAGTAGAAGTAGAGAACGCAAAGTTTGCTAAGTAGAGACTGTCCTTCAGTAATAATCAGGAGCATTATTGAAAATGATTATCTTCTCTATAGAATTTTCAATTTTCTCTTTTAGAAGCTCCTAATTTTCCTTTTGCCCTTTCCATTTTACAAGCAATTATCTGTAAGTGCAACTGAAGTGCCAGGAATCTGAGTTGTTATTCTTAAAATTGAAAACTATGAAGTCTAAGGAATAGCTGTAAAAATTGATAGTACTTTTCACATGCTGTCTCTGTGGGCTTGTGATTTCCGTAAAGGAAGGGAAACGAGCTTGCTTTCATCAGAAACCACCATATTAACCATTCTTTTAACTCAGGGTCCAACAGTCACCAAGAGATACATACCTTGTGTCTATAGTTCTACCTCAAATTGACCGATGTTGTCCCGAGATGAGTCTTCCAATATTTACACTCCTATGATGGATATATTCTGCAGTTGTTGGACAAGCTATTTAATTTTGAAGCCTCAGTTTCCTAGTTGGCAAAACACATAAAAATAATTTTCTCATCATTAGATGATTTTGGGGATTAAATGAGATAACTTTCATGAAAATTCTATGTATATTATTAAATTTTAAACATGTATTAAAGAAAGTACTCACTTTGGCAAAAACATATACTAAAATTGGAATGATACAGAGAAGATTAACATGGCCAGCACACAAGAATGATGGCATATAAATTCATGAAGTGTTTCATATTTTTCTCATAAGAGATAACTCTTGGAAGTGGCTTATATGTCCACCAATAGATGAATGAACAAAGAAAATGTGGTATATATACACAGTGGAGTACTACTTGGCCATAAATAAGGGTACTTTTAAGTCAATTGTAAGACAATGGATGCATCTTGAGAACATAAGCTAAATAAATTAGACACATGAGCACAAATATCACATGGAATCTCTTATATAAGAACTGCAAATGTATAAATAATTAAAAGAACAAAATAATAGGTAGATAATATTAGATAAGGAGACAGATTCTTTACAAGTGGAGTGGGGAGCTAGAGATGGAGTAACAGGGAGCTTGAGAATGAGAGGGGAAGTAAAGAGAATTGAGATGTGTTAGGTACATGTACCAATCCCCCACGATGAATGTAGTCTTTAGGCACTGCAGATATGTACTAATAAACATAAAAAATTTAAGGGGACACCTGCAATTAGAATCACATGATGGTTATAAAACCAAGTTAGAATCACATGCAATAAGCCAGTAATACGGAACACATGCCTTCCCAAGTTGCTGTTGTCTTAGATTCTAAAGCAGTTGATCTTTGAGGAAAGCTAGGGGAAAAAATTAATGTTGTCCAGTTTGGTAGATAATTACCAACTCTAGAAAGCCCATCTCCTTCCAATTTCCCGCCTCCTTCCTCCTGTCTGTGCCACGCCCACTCCATACTATTTCTCTGTGGGGTTATAGGCACCATCTAACAAAACTGTCTGTGTCTGGTTTGAACTGGTGCAAGATGATCGTGCAGCTTCTTTTCCGACCCCATAGTTAGTGCCCTCCATTACTAACCAGAATTTGGCCATGGTGGGAGTGTTCACTCCAAGAAAGATGGTAAGCAGTGCAGATCAAGTTTTCCTTTTTGCCTTTTGGAAATTTCATTGTTAAACACTTCCTGGCACATACATATCCCTTTTGGGTTCTTGTCTGCTTAGAGAGACCTCGATCCTCTTCCCAAGCCAGGTAGAAGTGTATTTGCCTGCACCCAACGGAAAACCGAACAGCACACTAGTGTAAACGTGCCTGTCACACTGAAGGTTTGACTGGGAATTATCCTGTTTGTACAACAGTAACCTATCTCTGCCGCCAGAAGTCACTTGGTTCAGCCTGCCTTAGCACGTTGGCTTGATGGTTCCTCCTTTACAGCCTATGTATTGTAACTCCAAACCTCACAGTTTACATGTAGCTACCAATAGATGCAGGGTGTCCTGACAAATGTGTGTTTAGCTTTTGAAATTCAGAAGAAGGAAAAAGCAAGTGAAAAGATGAATGGGATTGGATCTTGAAGATGATATCTATTCAAAATTTGTTCATAGTTATTTTTCCCCGAATATTAGCAAGAGTCAGTATACAGAGTGAGCTAAACCATGAAATGGGCAGATATGTTTATTTTGTTTCTTTTAAAAACAACTGTGGATCTAAATTTGTATCATGAAACATGCCTTCGTTTCCTCTAATTCAAAAGTTCAAGTTACTGTTCCTCCATTTTAGTGTGTTAAGTAGCATTTGATGATTATTTTACATGCTTGTGATTGGGGATGTAAGTCTTTATATAGGAAATCCCAACTACTAAAGGTGCCTGTGTCACTCATGTCTACATGCATTTATGACCTTTTATGAGCTCCTTGGTCTGATGTCTGTTTTCCCAAATCAAGTGTGTTTATATCCCAGCATCTGCAGACCTGGCCACATGGTGATGAGTCTGGTGACAACCAGGCCTCCAGAACCTCTGACCTTTTATCTCTGAGTCTGCCTTTCAATGAACAATGTGTGGTATGGGTTTGATTTCCTGTTCTCCTGAGAAAAGTGAATGTGATAAAGCACTTACTGTTCATGATAACCTGTTTTATTTATTTATTTATTTATTTTGGTACCGGGGATTGAACTCACGACCGCCTGCTTGCAAGGCAGGTGCTTATGCCGCTGAGCTAAATCCCCAGCCCCATGATAACCTGTGTTTGAGGTTGCTCTCTGAGGCTGATTGCAGTAAATGAACTTCTGATGGAAATGTTCAAACACATGAAGGTTTCAAAATAACAGAAAGAAGTCTCTCGTGCCTGTCATTTATTTTCAACAGTTATCAGCACGTGGTCAATGCGGTTTGGTGTCCGCACCCTCCCTGTTCCTATCTCCATGAGATTATTTTGAAGCAAATTCCAGACATCATATCATTTCACTTGAACACGTTTGAATATGTAACAGAGCTTGCATTTTAAAAGAAGCTACGGAAACTTCTATGAATGACTTTCATTAAATATGCAAATTAAAGTGAGTAGCTGTTTCTGGCAGAAATGTTTTCCTTCTCGTGGGGGTAGGATGGGTGGAGCCACAGAAAGAGGAATGGGGATGCCGTCTGCCTGTAATATCTTATAGCCGGCCCTGGCCTGTCTTTATATCGTATACATTTGTCATCTCCTCATGATTAAAAATTCCTAGAAGGAGTGCAAGTACTTACCTTATTCACATAATATTTTGAGATTTATAAGAAAGGTTGTTTTTCAGAAACTCCCCCGACTGTGCTGTTTTTTGTTTATTCAGTTTTTGAATGGTGTCAGCTTCATATACAGGCTTAGACTCACTCCTCTGTTATTTACCAGCTGCAAAATGGTGCTCGTTTCTGGGTTTCAGTATTGGAAACTGAACTACTAATTTGGGCCCCTTATTTATAATTCTAACTCTGTGTTCTCTCTCTTTATTAAACTATCCTAGGATCTAGTACCTGGTAATAAGTTGCTTTCTTTATGAAGGGGAAAAATCAATACATTGTTAGTGATGTTTTTCCAGTGAAAGGAATAGATTAGGCCAGCTTTTACCTTATTAAAAAGTTTATTTTAGAGCAATAAATGGGGGGGCATGAGACCCTCTAGGAACTGGGTGCTTTTTTTCTGGAAAAAATTAATGAAAAGGTTTCATTTCAGATGAAACAGTTCCAGCCAAAGCTGCTTCGTTCCCTATGACCTAATCTGTAACTGAAGGCTGCGCTGCTGATGTCTAACGTTTGCCTCCCTTCCAGGCAACTCGTGATGAAGTAGGCTAATGGTAAAGTAAAGTATCTTATGCTACTGAGCTTTAGGATCATACTTCATATTTTGTAAAGTGCTTTTTCATTATTTATTACTCACAACCTACCTATGAGATCTCCTGGCTGTCTTATCTCCCATATTGTGGCTGAAATATGACTAAGCTATGTTCATAAATGCTTCAGGAAGCTGAAATGAATATAGGTACTTGCTGACATACAAACACCCAGCATGCAAAATGGTTGGCCCGCCCTGCCCTTGGGAATGGGGGATGCAGCTCCCCCAGAGAGTGAAAGGTTAGCCCAGTGGTCTCTGGGACTGCAGGTATGGGAGTCAACAATGAGGTTGGTGAGGGAAGGTGAGTATACTCTGTAGTGTTTAAGGCCGGATTCATATCTCCATAAACACATTGCTGTACTTGGGATTTCTGTGCTTGGATGAGTTCACCAATGTCCAAATAACGCATAAATAACGTTTTTCCTGCATTCAGCTGGGGTGCGTGTGGTTTTGTGATTTGTTTGGGATAGGTTACACTGCTTACACAATCAGAACTCTTGAATTTGTGTTCCCATAAAAACTGTTCACTTGAGGGAAGGATATTTGGTTCCTTTGCAGCATGCATGCATGGGACAATTGTCTGTTTTGGAACAAAAGGACAATCTTTAGGTATAGTCTTATACCAACAAAATAAGAGAGAGGTGAACTCCATCTAATTTGTGGATGCCAGGGTGATCAGGAATGGGAAGTAGAGTTTTCGTTAGAATCACTTTGTGCATAGTACTGGATTTGCTGCCAGCTCAACAGACCTAGGTTGCCATGGCTTCAGACTGCTTGTAGTGCATGTTGTGTTTTTCCATCAGCCTCACATTTTTTACTGGTTGGCACATACAGATGAGTACAGCCAAACTGAAATATCAAGCTAAACCAAAGACAGAATGATTAAAAAATCTACTTACGGGCTGGGGATTTAGCTCAGCGGCATAAGTGCCTGCCTTGCAAGCAGGCAGTCGTGAGTTCGATCCCTGGTACCGATAAAAATGAAAAAGACAAAAAAAAAAAAAAAAATTTAAAAAATCTACTTACATTGCATATACAATGTGTACAGATGAATTATCTGGTGATTTGGCCAAGGTGAAATATAGGTCAGTGCTATTCAGTCTCAGAAAGTAAAAAGATTTGCTGCCAGAAAAGTCATATCTAAACAGACAAAAGAATCTTTAATATTTCTTCCTTAATATGTCACACATTATATGCATAGAAGCAGGTAACATGCACTAGGTTAGATGTCAAAAGACTTGGGCCCCATATCTAGTTCTGATATTCACTAGATCATTTACCAAGTCACCTAACCATTTCTAGACCTCTTTCTTAATCTTTCATTTAAGAGTGTTGAACTAGACTGACTCTACTATTTCTTTCTTTCTTTTTTTTTTTTTTTGGTACTGGGGACCGAACTCATGACCTCACACTTACCAGACAAGAGCTTGAGCTGCTGAGCTAAATCCCCAGCACTTTGCTATTTCTTTGCAGTGCTAAAATTTTCTGTTAGTATGAAAGGAAGTAGATATTAACAGGTAACATGCAGATATACATGGTTTATTGCCAAAACTCAGAGAATCTCTTCTCACAGGACGGCCCTGAAACATGCTGCCTCTTTTCTTTTTTTTAATCTCTCAGCAAGACATTCCCATTTGTGTGCCTGTTTTCTGTTCAAGACATGTACACAATGAACGTAGATCATCACAGGCCTTCAAAACGGTTATGTTCAAGGCTTTCTCACATTCTGAAGCTCTTCTGTATTTCCTACTGTTGGAGCTCTTGCCAAAGCGCACCTGAAAATCTGACTCAGCCTTTCCATTTGAAGGCTAATGAGTTGGCTTTCTGGGTTATCAAGAGCAGGCTGTTTGAGGTTTTGCAACCAAATGACAAATGAAGTGAACTCATTGTCAGCATGCC